TGCACGCACACCGCGCCAGCCTGTGCGAAATGCTTGGGCCTACACTCCGACTTGACGAACCACTCCAGGTCCGCGTGCAAGGCGGAACGCTCACAGATACTTCAATGAAACCTCGCCCCTACCCGCTCAAGATGGTGGTGCGACGAGGCCGTCAGGACCGCCTGCTTGCACGCTCTGGGGCCTCTGGGCTCAGCCTCCGACTTGATGGGGTCGAGGGCCATGCAGTCCAAATTGGCACGGACCGCCCTGCGACGCACGAGATGCGCCACCGCGTCGACCCAACCAACCTCGGGCTTAGCGGTGGCCTTGCTCAAAACCTCGGCGGCAGCTTGGCCTGCAGACATGTCGGCACACTCGTTTCCTGCAATCTGCCGCAGTTGGCACAGGGATCCACTGCCTGTGAGCTCCTCGGCTTGATGACCGTGCAGAAACACAACTTGGATCCTGGACTCACCCCTCTCACTCACAGCTGCCCGTATGGCCAGCCACAGCTTCGCGTTCGGCTGCCTCTGGCGCCCACGGCTCCAGCTAGTGACTGGCCAGCGACTACGTGCGTGCCGCGTGCCACTTCGCTAATCCAGCGAGCGGTCTCTGCATGAGTAAACAGCGGAGACACATGTTTCGCCTATCTCACAGCACCGAACTCTCTTGCATGCTTCGTGCAGTTTAGTGCTTCCCTGGATTCTCAGGCCGTCCATGAGCAGCCGGCCTCTTAAAACCAGCCACCAGGCGGCATGCTGCCCGTGTGGCAGCGCAGGCCGCCGCTCGTTGCCCTCAAGCGCCCGGGCGGAGGGCCCACGGCTCGGCCCGCGGGGCCTGCTTGGGCCCAGGCAGGCCTGCCACGATGCCCGCCACGGGCCTCGGGGAACCGTTCTCGCTCTCGGCGAGGGTGCGCACGATACCCCCGTGCAGGAGCGTCTCTTGCTGTCCGCAGCGCGGGCACGGGCCCGTGCCTCGCTTCCGCTGCCGAACTCTCGTCCAGGAGGCGCCCGTTATGACCTGTGGCCGCAGCGCCCAGGTGCTGTGGCCACCATCTCGCTGCAGGCGGGCCAGCTGCCTCTTGGCCTGGTGGAGGTCGGGGCCCTCGGGCCCCTTCCCCGCGTCGTGCTGCGCCGCGCTGCGCCAGCAAGTGCGCTTGATGCTGGCTACCACTTCCTCCAGCAACTCGCCATCGTCGACCTCGTTGGGTCCTTAGCTCATCCTCCTCAGCTCGTCAACGTCCGACTGCCGCTCAATGACAGTGGGTACCTCCCATCCTGCCGTCAGCAGCGTGCGGATGACCGCCGAGATGGCCCCGTTCACCTTGGCCCATCTGCGCTCTGGGGGCAGGCCCTGCAGCTCATTGCAGATGTTGGCCCAAGCTCTCTGGACAGAGGGAGGGAGGGAGGGAGGGAGGGAGGAGGAGGAGGAGGAGGAAGAGGAGGAGGAAGAAGAGGAGGAAGAGGAGGAAGTGGGCGCGCGCTGGCAATGCAGGCTCGCTGGCAGCATAGGGCGGAGGCCTCGGGTCTCCGGATAGAGGTGCCGGCAACGCTGCTGGGCACCGCTGGCAGGAGAGCCCCGCACGCGCCGCCGCTTCGTTCTCCCATCTCCCTTCCTCCCTATCATGAATGCTTCTCTGCTGTCTCCCTGGATCCTGTCCGAGCGTGGCCCGTTTTTGTCCCGCATGTTAGAGTTTCGTTTTCAGTTTATTTTTTATATCATTTATTTCATATAGACAACGTTAGCCAGCGTGGACCCAACGCAGTGTGTTCTAGCACACTATGTGGTGCAATCTATGTGGTGCAATCTGTGTGGTGCAATCAGTGTGGTGCCTTCTATGTGGTGCAATCTAAGTGGTGCAATTAATCTTGACCGTCTTGAAGCTGTCCTCTCCACTGCTCGTGCAAACATCCCACCCTCCCACCCGCAACTTGGTCGCAAGACCTCTTCAGACAAGACCGTGACGGTAGGTACCACATGGCACTTGGCCACGACACCGATGCCGACGACGACAGCGACATGACGACGACGGCGCCGCCGACAGCGACTGCGACGACACCGACGACGTCTCCAATGTTTTCGACGGCGACAACGACGACGACGACACCGACGACGACGACAACGACGCCGACGACGACGAAGACGACGACGACGTCGCCAACGGAGACGACGACGAGGGAGGAGAAAAAACGACGACGGCGACAACGACGACAACGACGATGGAGGAGGGAAGACAGCGACGAAGAAGGAGGAAGGACGGCGACGCCGACGACGACAACGACGAGGGAGGAGGGAAGACGACGACGATGACAACGACGACGAAGACGACGACGACGGCGACGAAATGAAAGGACGACGACGAGACGCCGTCGACGGACGACGACGAGGGAGGAGGATAACGACGAGGGAGGAGTGAAGACCACGACGACGACGACGACGACGGCTACGAAATAGGAGGGACAACGACGAGACGCCGACGAAGACAACGAGGGAGGAAGGACGACCACGGCGACAACGACGACGGAAACGACGACGACGCCAAGACGACGACAACGACGACGAGGAAAGACAGACGACGACGACGGCGACGACGACGACGACGACGACGACGAGGGAGGAGGGAGGACGACGACGACGACGACGACGCAAGAGCGCGCGCGCACGCTTTTGTTGAAAATCCGTGTTGCGAAACCTTGGGTTCTTATGGGTTTTTTGGACGCACGATTTTGAAATCCTTCCGAAACCGATGGTTTTTGAAGGATTTCGGCATGCGCCCGCGACGACGCGCGCGTCTGCACTTCGTCCCATTTGTTGCAGAGGATTCTCGCGACGGCACACGAGGGCGTTCGACAGATTTCGACATGCGCGCGCGCGAAGCCCGTTTGGTAGCATTTTGTGAAAATCTGGGAAAACCTATGGTTTTCTAAAGATTTCGCAAGACCTCGCGCGGAAGTTGTTTTAGCAAATCAGTGTTGCGAAACCATGTGTTTTTGAATTTTTGTTGGAAACTCGATTGCGAAATCCTTCCGGCACCGAAGGTTTTTGAAGGATTTCGGCATGCGCGCGCGACGACGCGCGCGTCTGCACTTCGTCCCATTTTTTGCAAGGGATTCGTGAAAATGTCACCGCATAGTGTTCTTTACAAGGGAACCGCAGGGGGGGGAACCCGGCTTGGCTGAGATAGTATGAATTCATATTTAGGATGGACATGTGGTCAGAATCGTATGTAATTTGCAGCACGCGCGGGGGTCCCGATAAGTCCGGGGGGGGGGAGGGTAGAATCTATTAGTCTTTCAGAAAGGAGAATCTATGCGGTACAATCTATGTCTTGGAGTCTATGTTTATAACAGGCTGAGGGGGCGCGAACGGTCCTTTGCTAAAATATCCTAAGTTCGGAAAAAGCAGGCGGCCAACCTCTTTACAAAATTCAAGCTCGACGTTGCTGGAATCCTGAAATCCAGAACGAGTTCGGAAACAGTTCGGTGGCGAGAAACAAGTTCGGAAACAGTTCGGCGGCGAGAAGCAAGTTCAGAACACAATTCGCACATCGCTCGGTGGCGAGGATGAAATTAGATAAAAGTTCCAAAGTTCAAGACAGTATTCAAACAGTTCAAACGTTCAAACAAGTTCACAAAGTTCAGAAAGTTGAAACGTTAGAAGAACATATCAAGCGTTCAACATAAATTTAAACATTCAGAAAAGTTAAGGTTGAGTTTGGAAACAGTCGTCGGTCTGCCAGGGGGCCATCTTGAACTTATTTCGAACGCTGGGTTCTTAGAGGCTTCGAACTCGAACTTTTGATTTTCTTTCTGCCCGAACCTGAACCCGAACTTTAATCATTTTCAGGGAAGACCATCTTTCCTCTCCCCCCATCAGCCGGTCACAAGTCTATGTGGTGTAAGCTGTGTGGTGTGTTGTATGTTGTGCAATTGATTACCCTGCACCGTGCTTGGCCACCTCCACTGCTCGCGCAAACATCCCACCCACCCACCCGCAACTTGGTTTGCAAAATCTCTTAAGACCGTGACGGTGGGTACCAAATGGCACTTGGCAACGACAGCGACGCCGACGACGACAGCGACAACGACGACGACGACGCCGCCGACAACGGCTACGACGACGTCTCCAACGACTTCGACGGCGCCGACAACGACGACGATGATGACGACGACACCGACGACGACGCCGACGCCGACGACGACGACGACGATGACAACGACGACGACGATGACGACGCCGACGCCGACGACGACACCGACGACGACGACGTCAACGACGCCGACGACGACGACGACGGCGGCGGCGACGACGACGACGCCGACGTCGACGACGACGAAGACGACGACGACGCCGTCGCCGACGACGACGACGACGAAGACGACGTCGCCAACGAAGACGACGTCGCCAACGAAGACGACGACGAGGGGAGGAGGGAGGATGACGACGGCGACAACGACGACAACGACGACAACGACGAGGGAGGAGGGAGGACGGCGACGACGCGAACGACGAAGAAGGAGGAAGGACGGCTACGCCGACGACGACAACGACGAGGGAGGAGGGAAGACGACGACGACGACGACGACGACGACGACGACGACGACGACGACGGCGACGAAATAGGAGGGACGACGACGAGACGCCGACGACGGATGACGACGACGACGACGAGGGAAGAGGAGGAAGGGCGACCACGGCGACAACGACGACGGAAACGACCACGACGCCAAAGAGGACGACGACGACGAACACGAGGAAAGACAGAGGACGGCGTAGGCGACGACGACGACGACGCGGGAGGAGGGAAGACGGCGACGACGACGACGACGACGACGACGCAAAAGCGCGCGCACGCTTTTGTTGAAAATCCGTGTTGCGAAACCTTATGTTTTTGTAGGTTTTTGGACACACGATTTTGAAATCCTTCCGAAACCGATGGGTTTTCAATGATTTCGGCATACGCGCGCGACGACGCGCGCGTCTGCACTTCGTCCCATTTGTTGCAGAGGATTCTCGCGACGGCGCACGCGCAAGGGCGTTCGACAGATTTCGACATGCGCGCGCGCGAAGCCCGTTTGTTAGCATTTTGTGAAAATCTTGAAAAACTCATGGTTTTTTTTCAGATGTCGCAAGAGCTCGCGCGTAAGCATTCTTAGCAAATCAGTGTTGCGAAACCGTTTGTTTCTGTATGTTTGTTTTGGAAACTCGATTGCGAAATCCTTCCGACACCGAAGGTTTTTGAAGGATTCCGGCATGCGCGCGCGACGACGCGCGCGTGTGCACTCCGTCCCGTTTTTTGCAAGTGATTCGCGACACAGTGCTATGTTAGAGCAACAGGTGTCTCCGCGTATTGTTTTTTACAAGGGAACCTCAGGGGGGCCGATCCCGGCCCCTCTTGGGATAGTGTAAATTCATATTCAGGATGGACATGTGGTCAGAGTCATATATGATTTACATACCCGAAAGGGGGGCGGATAACACAGGGGGGGGTAGAAAGGATATTCTATGCGGCGCAGTCTGTTTGTAATGTAATATACTTGGTGCAGTCTACGCGGTGCAATCCACTTCGACTGTCTTGAAGCTGTCCTCTCCACTGCTCGTGCAAACATCCCACCCTCCCACCCGCAACTTGGTCGCAAGACATCTTCAGACAAGACCGTGACGGTAGGTACTGCGTGGCACTTGGCCACGACACCGATGCCGACGACGACAGCGACATCGACGACGACGGCGCCGCCGACAGCGACTGCGACGACACCGACGACGTCTCCAATGTTTTCGACGACGACAACGACGACGACGACACCGACGACGACGACAACGACGCCGACGACGACGACGAAGACGACGACGACGTCGCCAACGGAGACGACGACGAGGGAGGAGAAAAAACGACGACGGCGACAACGACGACAACGACGATGGAGGAGGGAAGACGGCGACGACGCCAACGACGAAGAAGGAGGAAGGACGGCGACGCCGACGACGACAACGACGAGGGAGGAGGGAAGACGACGACGATGACAACGACGACGAAGACGACGACGACGGCGACGAAATAGGAGGGACGACGACGAGACGCCGACGACGGACGACGACGACGAGGGAGGAGGATAACGACGAGGGAGGAGTGAAGACCACGACGACGACGACGACGACGACGGCGACGAAATAGGAGGGACAACGACGAGACGCCGACGAAGACAACGAGGGAGGAAGGACGACCACGGCGACAACGACGACGGAAACGACGACGACGCCAAAGACGACGAGGAAAGACAGAAGACGACGACGCGACGACGACGACGACGACGACGAGGGAGGAGGGAGGAGACGACGACGACGACGACGACGCAAGAGCGCGCGCGCACAATTTTGTTGAAAACCCGTGTTGCGAAACCTTGTGTTTTTGTAGGTTTTTTGGACGCACGATTTCGAAATTCTTCCGAAACCGAAGGTTTTTGAAGGATTTCGGCATACGCCCGCGACGACGCGCGCGTCTGCACTTCGTCTCATTTTTTGCAGAGGGTTCTCGCGACGGCACACGCGCAAGAGCGTTCGACAGATTTCG